AATAAAAAGGGCAATTATGTCATTTTACATTATTGAAATCAACATCTGACATGTCTGCGAACCAAACAGAATATGTAATTGGATTCCAATTCCATTTCCAGACAACCAAACAGAATATAGAATTGGATTCCAATTCCTGACAGATTCCAATTCCTGACAGATTCCAATTCCTTCACAGATTTCAATTCTCTCAGAAATATTCCAACGAACCAAACGCCACCTAAGTATGAGTAATTGTGTATATAAAGTGTATTGTCAATAAATTTAAAAAGTTTTGAACATATATTATCTTGTAATCACATCAAATAATTTAAAAAATTATATTTGATTGCAATAATTCATAATTGACTTGTTTATCTTTATCCCTTCATATATATGTTATTAATAATTAAAAAAGATTTTAAAGAATTTTTACTTGACAATCTCATTAAATTATTTAAGAAAGAACATATTTAGAAAAAAAGGGATTTGATAACCTCAAGAAGAGTTTTTTTTTAACGTTCAGTTACTCCATTTTGTTGAGATAAATTGACACAGAAAGTGATATGAACAATCTCTTTTTCCTAAAAGAAAGACACTAATGTGTGAGAAAAATATGCACTGTCATTATCATTATTAAAAATCTCAACAAAACTCTTAAATCGAGTTTTAACCATTTTGTGGAATCTTTTAAAAATATCACCAACCTAAGATTTATTACATATGAGAAAAATTCACATAATACGAGAATGGTCATCGATAAATGAGATAAACCAATGAACCTCATTTAAGCTTTTGAGCTTTTGACACGAGAGAAACCCCAAATGTTATTGTGGATATTAGCAAAAGGTTTGAAAGAGTGGTACAAATAAGGGCAATATGTACTTCTAGTTTGTTTGGCAAAGTGAAAAATATCGTAAAAAAATAATGAAGGATTTTTATTAATGAATATCTTGGGAAACAACTTTGTTAGATAAAAAAATTTAGGATGACCTAACCTAAAATTTCATAATAATATCTCGGCAGAAACATCAGTATGTGGTGGAGAGATCGAAACAAGAGGAAACAAAAAACTAGAGTTGGCTTGGGTTTGAAATGGAAGAAAGGCTTCAAGAATATAAAGTCTATCACGAAGCTTAGCACTGTCAATAACCTTTGCAGAGCTTGAATCCTAAAATTCACAAATATCGGAGATAAAACGGGTAGTGCAACACAAGTCAACAAACAATTTACTCTTGAAGTCAATGTAGCAAAAGAAATGCTACATTCATGCACAACACACGCATGCTTGGGTTCGAAATAAGAATTCAACTGGCCAAATAGTTGTTTCAGTTCCTCTATTTGTTGCTTACTAAACGAACTAACACTAGTGTTATTGGTCATGACATAATGACCCTGAGATTCACGATGGGAGGCTGTTTGGAAGACCTCCAGTCTGCGGGTCGCCCATGGAGTTTCCAACATTTATCAATAAGATGACCAACCTTCTTGCAATGATCATACCAGGGTTTGCCCTTCTTAGGGAGAGAATCACTATGAGAGTGCGTAAGCAAAGCCGATCCTTAAACAACATGTGTAGAATGCATGAGAATTTGCATGCTTTCCTCGCAACGAACTTCAGAAAATACCTCCCTGTGAGACAGAAGAAGTTTAACACCCAAAATACGCCCACGAACTTCATCGAGATCTGCAGTTAAACCAGACAAGAATTGGAACACACATCGTTTCACAATCAGTTGTTTAAAGAGCTTAGAATCCTCTCCACAAAGCCATACATAGGATTCAAACAGATCAAGTTGCTACCAAAATTGATACAAATGAGTGAAATACTGCGTGACACTCATACCTTGCTTGAAGATACTAATCTGACATTCAATCCCAAATAGAATAGCAGGATTGTCGAGATTGAAATAAGTTTCTCGTGTAGCATGACAAATTTCAGAGGTTGTATTATACAAAATAAAGTTCTCCCCCATCACTTCAGGAACCATAGCATTAAGTAACCACGACATAATCATGATGTTCTCATTCAGCCAAGTATCGTAATTAGGATTAGTAGAGTTTGGAATCGATATATTTTCAAGAGATTGTTGCTTCCAACGACCAGTGATGTAAAGTCGGACCGATTGAGGCCAATGAATGTTGTTATTGACATTCAAGCGATGACACGTGATGGAAGTAGTAGAGGAGTCAGCTGGGGTGTTAGAGGCAGAGGGCGTAGCCTTAGAAACAACTTCAGAAGAGATTGAGAAAACCACCATAGTCGATATATGGTGAGGCATGATCTAACCTAAACTGATATCATGTAGAAAATAAGTTTACTGGTGAAGAAGATAAGTTTTTATTCACCATCCTATCTAATTGAAAAAGTACAATGAAGCTTTATATAAGAAATGTGCAAGAGTCATATGTAAGTTAACTTTATCCTTATCTACAAAATAAGCTAGAGTTGGTGATAAACTATAACACTAATATTTACAGGATAATCCCAATCAATATCTAGAAGTGTTACATGACTTATACGATCGAACACCTAAAAATTATTTTTTAAAGAAAGATTAATTTCCCCTCCAAAAAATATAACTTTTACAGTCTGCACCTTACCAAAAAAATATGTTAGAATTTTGGAGTCTATTACTCATAGAGAATGATTATCAACCCACGACGCCAAGAATCGATACCTAATTGATTACGAGGTATCTTAATAATAAAAATTTATGAATTTAAAATTAATTTAAATCACAATCCTCTTAATACACGTGAATGTTTTCAAATATAATAATCAAATGGCTTTTTTAATATCAAAATTCACTAAACTTTTGGAAGAATGTTTCCTTGTTTCGAATAATAAATGGTTCGTACTCGAATGAGTTTGAAGACTATCCTATTTAATACTTTATCAAAAGGACATTGCCTAATCAATTTTAAAAATACAGAAATAGATACACTACCATATAAATGTACAAATAATAATAAAGTCACAAATATATGACATAATACAATAAAAAATTACACGAATTACTGAAGTAAAAATACTATAGTTTATTTGGTTTGAAAATGAGTCCTTTTTTTTATTAATTGAAAATGAGTCCTTTTAGTTCAAATTATCGAGAAAGTTGTAGTCCAAATAGTTTAGATACCATCTCTCAGTTATTTTTAACGAACGTTACCTCGATTTTATATTATGGTACGCGGACTGCTCTATCCCGTAGTTCTGATAAAATATTTTTAAAATTTTAGACAGAGATTATTGTGGAAGACGGCTATCGGATAGAGGTTGTGTGTGCCTGAAGTAAAATGCTCTATTCAAGCTTTTTTTAAGGGAAAAAAAGCATATTATAAACAGAAACGAACCATATGTGGGCGAGGTGGACTGAAGCTGCAGGACCCGTGCCTTAAGCAAATAGCTGCTCATATTGAGGTAATCCCAAGTTTGGTGCATTTCCATTCTCAGGAAAGTTCTGCTGCTGAGTTTGAGAGGTCAAAAAGCTTTGCTGAATTTGAGGAGTCGAAGGATAAGGTTGTCCACCCAAATCTGAATTGAAATTTGGTCTTAATTTGAACTAAATTTAACACTTCATCTTTAATTTTTTTATTAATTAACTCATGTATATATCTAATTATATTCGCTGCATATGATTTAAGTGATCTATGGGTTGCAGTGGTGAAATGAATGTCTGACTTGGGTGTTTATTGCTTTGATTTGGTGCTTTTTTGTCCTGGCTTTTTATCATCATTGGAGTGGCTAAGAGCTTTAAGGATCGTCATTGTATGACAATGAGTCGGTGTGTTTTGATATCTTACGGAAGGTACTTTATCTTTTCGTGTTATCATTGTTGGTTCTTTTGAACCCTCGTATTGGAAGCTGGTTGTTTACTTGTTTCGGGCGTGAGATTATTCCCAATTTATAGTGTTCTTAAGTTTTGATTGAATGATGTGGTAGGTTTATTTAAGAATTTTCATGGTGGTTGTGTCTGTATGAAGTTTGTCAATTATGGTGAGATTTAGTGTATAGTGTTAGGCTTGGAGAGCTCTCTATGTCTTGACCGAGTTTATTAGGTGTGATTTTGTGTGTCGTCTAGGGTGTCAGTACGTAGGTGGTGTTTTCCCCTCACTTGGGATTCTGTAATCTACTATGTAGACCTAATTTTAATATTAATAAAAAATAATTTAGGAGAAGAAAAAAAAAAGACTAAAATGATGAAATTTTTAAATATGAGTATTTAAATTTATTTAATTATTTTTTGTTAGGACTAAATTGATAGGTTATATAAGTTTTTAAAACTAAAATTATTATTATTATACCGGGATATGGAACTATTCATGTCTAGTATTTAACTATTAGTGACATGTTTGTAACGATAATTTAAGTGGATGACATGTTTGTAAATTTTAGAAGACAAGTGGCACATATGTTAGTAAACCTACAACTAAGTGACCTTGGGTGTAGTTTACCCTAAATAATTAACAATATATATAATGTACCCTAAGTTAAATCAATTCACTAAATTAAAATATTATTTTTAAAGTTTTTAATTTTGTAAAATATTTATAGTGAAAACGATAAAAATAATTTTATATCAATTTTTAATTTTTTTCACATTTTTATTTTTCATAATAAAAAAAATCATTTCTGACAATTTTAACTACATTTGTTTTCTTCATTGTTTTATATTTGTTTAGAAAACAAAACTAAAAAAACTATATTTTCTAAAATTAAATAGATCTGAATTAGAGTCATAAATATATATTCTAAAATTAAAACCAAACATGAAAGCATATAGTTAAAAATCATTGAAAGGGTAGTTTGCACGTTAATTGGTTAACAAAACAAATAATAACACACTTTATCGTTGTCCATAAGATTTGCTCTTTATTTATAAGCTTAGACGTATAGATTCCAAACTCGTCAAAGGTATCATACTTCCCTTTACAATTCTCATTTAATCTCTCAAGAAAACGAGCAAGCAGTATCATATACTGCCAGGAAAATACGATAAGAAATTAAAGAAAACAATCCCATGGAAACTCCAGTAGAAGAAAACAGCAAGACCAGAGAAACTCACTCTACATCCCATTCATCAAAAGGCGGCTTCAAAACTCTACCTTTCATCTTAGGTTCTCAAAACTTTGCATTCAATGGTGATTTTATAAGTATTTCAGTTTAATGTTATTTTTTTTTTCAATTTTCATGGAACATTTTTGACAGCAACCGAGGCCTTCGAAAGGGTGGCGACTGCTGGGTTACCTCCACTTTTGACAGTGTATTTGACGACAGAATTTGGCATGGAAACTGTCAAAACAGCCACCGTAGTCAACTTTTGGTCAGCGGTCACCCACTTGACTCCGATCATTGGTGCTTTTCTTGCGGATTCTTATATGGGAAAGTACTGGATGATCGGATTCGGATCCGTGGTTTGTTTTCTGGTAATCAAACCTGTAAAACCTCAAGTTTCTTTCGTTTTTGATACTTTAACAAATTTGTTGTTAGATTTTAGATCGGTGTACAATGTTGTCACTTTTGTTAATGTTTTGGTTTGAATTATTCATGGGGACGCTGCGTCCCTTTTATTTCGTTTCTAATATTTCTACATTGATATATTGAAAATGGCTACCGTCAGCTCTTGGTTGCATTTGTGAACCCCAAATCTTCCCTCGTGTGTTCATCGACAAAATGTTTATGTTTAATTTTATACAAGATTTCATGTATTTAGAGGGTTTAAAAAGGATCATATCCGTTCCTATATCGAGATATGTGTTAGGTTGCAGTAGCATATGTTTTATTTTGTTTAAACAATAGTGAAAAAGATTGATATGTATGATTGTAACTAAAAAGTAAACAGGCATGCGGGCTGCTCTGTCCAGTAGTTGCTGAAAAAATATTTTCAAGTTTTTATGCAGAGATAGGATGGCATTACTGAAATGAACCATTTTTCTTTTCTTATTAATTATGTTTTCATGTTAGGGGATGGTTCTATTATGGTTAACAGCCGTGATTCCAGAAGCAAGGCCTTACTGCGACCCGTTTAGCACCATTTGTGAATCCCCCACAACACTCCAACTTCTAGTCTTATATTGTTCATTAGGCCTGATCTCTGTTGGATCCGGTGGCATAAGATCATCCTGCTTGGTCTTGGGAGCAGATCAGCTGGGAAAGGGAAACAATCCGGAAAGTGCAAAAACATTACAGAATTTCTTCAGTTGGTACTATGCTACCGTCTCGTTTTCATGTCTCATTGCTCTAACTTTGATCGTCTATATTCAAGAAGAAGCGGGGTGGGGAATGGGTTTTGGAGTACCTGTAATGCTAATGTTTGCTTCGTCTCTCTCTTTCTTCTTGGCATCTTCCTTGTACATCAAGTTGAAGGCCAAGGAAAGCCTAATCACCGGTTTTGCTCAAGTTCTGGTGGCCTCTTTCAGAAATAGGTACTCCGAGTTACCATCCCATGCCACAAAAGAAGTTTACCATATCAAAGAGGGATCGATGCTTCAAGTGCCAAGTGAAAAACTAAGGTATCATTATCGCAATACATTGCCTTACCGTTTGATTTTTTTTTTTTATGTTCATTATCCTTATCCTTTGTATGTTCTTTGTAATCTGTCCAGGTTTCTGAATAAAGCTTGTGTGATAAAAGATCCTCAACGGGACTTAAGCTTGAATGGAACTGCTTCAAACCCATGGAATCTTTGTACAATAGATCAAGTGGAGGATCTAAAAGCATTGCTCGGAGTGATGCCGCTTTGTTCTGCAGGAATCATGTTGTCTGTGACTGTTGTTCAAGCCCCTTTGGTAATAGTTCAAGCACGCACCATGGACAGACATATAAATTCAAACTTTGAAATTCCAGCTGGTTCATTTACCGTTTTTCTGATGACCGCTATCGTTGTATGGATTGCATTTTATAATCAAATAGCTCTTCCTTTAGCTTCAAAGATTAAAGGAAAACCGGTTTGTCTTAGTTTGAAACAAAAAATGGGGATTGGTCTTCTTTTCTCTTGTGCATCCGCCATAGCATTAGCAGTTGTAGAGTATACTCGACGAAACATCGCGATCCAAGAAGGACTCTCTGATCAACCACAGGCCCAAGTGCATATGTCTGCACTATGGCTACTGCCATACTATGCCCTAGGTGGCTTCGCTGAGGCTCTTAATGGAATTGGACAGGTTGAATTTTGCTACTCCGAATTACCTAAAACCATGTCAAGCATCGCGACGGGTTTGCATGGATTGGGACTTTGCATTGCAGGTCTAGCGTCGATTTGCATAACAAACACAGTTAAAAGTGTTACTAAAATAGGAGGGGAAAGTTGGCTTTCAAGCAATCTGAACAGAGGACATTATGACTATTTTTATTTCCTTCTTGCTGGCTTGGGCATGCTTAATTTTATATACTTTCTGGCTTGCAGCAAAGCTTACGGCCCTTGTCATGGACATCAGGAAGACCATGCTGAGATATGCAGGAAAAAAGATCATGAGGGGATAGCTGGTTGTTAAGTTTCTCTTAATACTCTTGTTAGAAATGTATGATGCCAAAACAAAAAAAAACTCTTACTGTATTAATTGAGTACACAAATAAAAGTTTTAGAAAAAGAATGTGAGCCTCTTGTTGTAAGTATGACTGGAATGTAAACATGACATGAATAATATACAAGAATATAAATAAATTAAAATAAAAAGGATTTAAATGCACTAAATGCTAAATTAAAATATAGATGGATAAGTAAACAAATAAATAAAGAGGTTTAATCTACTATTCCAATCGAATATAGGTTTCCTAACTTTGAAACCCTTTCCACGTCTTCAAGTAAAATCTAGCAACCCATGGTAGATTAAAAAAAACCTTTTTTAAAAAAAATACAAATTTTACATTCTGCACTTTATCATAGGAAAAATATGTTAAATTCAAGATTTTGTTTCGCATAGAGAATGATTAACAATTCACGACATATAAAATTGATACCTTATTGATTACGAGAATAATAAAAGTTTATGAATTTAAAATTAATTTAAATCATAATCCTCTTAATACTCATTTATATAATAAAGTGAATGTTTTCGAAAACAATAATCATATGACCTTTTTAAAATATCAACATTCTTTTGGAAGAATGTTCTCTTGTTTCGAATAATAAATGGTCGTACTCTAATGAATTTGAAGATTATCCTATTTAATACTCGAGTAAATTATAAATTTTATCATTGAACTTTATTATCTCTCCTATTTTTCTCATTGAACTTTAAAAGTTTTCAATTTTCTCACTAAACTTAATACATTGAGTTTTTTTGTCATTAAATTTTACTTTCTCTCTTATTTTGGTCACTCCACCGTTAAATAGTTAACGACGTTAAAAATGATTTCGTTTTAAAAAAACATACCAAAACGACATCGTTTTGCATCTATATAACAACCCAGTTAAACATCGTTAACTATTTAACGGCTGAGTGATCAAAAAAATTCAATGTATTAAATTTAGTGAGCAAATTAAAAAGATTTAAAGTAAAATAAGTAAAATGGGAGAAAAAATAAAGTTCAGTTGTCAAATTTGTAACTTACCCTAATACTATGTCAAAAGGACATTGTCCAATCATTTAAAAAAATGAAATAGATACAATAGCATACAAATGTACAAATAAAAATAAAGTCATAAATGTATGATATGATACAATAAAAAAAATTGCATGAATTACTGAAGTAAAATATTATAGTTTTTTGGTTTAAAAATGAGTCATTTTTGTTCGAATTATGGGAAAAAATTATATTCTAATTAGTTCAGATACCATCTCTCAATTATTTTAGTAAACGAACATTTCCTCGATTTTATATGGAATATAATATATCATTATTAAAATATAAAACTACTCTCTCTCACACACACATATATATATAATTAAAAATTACATAATATAAAGAAAATGCATACAATGTAATATGAAACTAATATGTTCATAAAATTTATAATATATATTATTATTTATATATACTATATATGGTATAAAAATTAATATATAATATTATTATATAATATAAAAAGATATGTAAATGAAACTGAGGCAATAGGATTGTAATGTAAACATGACAGGAATATTATATTATGATAATAAAAATTATATTTTGTCGAGAAGAAAAATATAACAGAACTCAAAGTAAAGAGGTTTCGAAACACCGTCTCTAAAGGTGACCAATCTCTATGTCTGCAATAAATAAAATAGTCGAACCAAGAAACTCGTTCAGCTGGCCTGACTCTATCTTATAAGTGTTCAACATATCTTTCACTAACTCATGGGTTGGGAGATGAAAATCAGAACCCAAAACAAACAATGAAAGATAAAATCACTCGAGGTCCCCATTGGAAATTGCACTACAGTAACTTGGGCAAAATAACATGTTGAAAATTTCGAATTTAAACTGGAAGTTATCTCACAGTAAACTACGACTTAATAATAAATTTTATTAGAAACGCATGTAAACCTCCTCTTCTTGATTACCATTTAGGAACACATTATTGACATCTAGATGATGAAACACCCAATCCTTATTCACTGCTAAGGATAGTAACCTCTTACCGTGTTAAGTTTCGCTACAAGAGCAAAAGTCTCTTGATAGTCCATTCCATAAGTCTGAGTGAACCCTTTTGCCATAAGTCTGATCTTATATGGTTCAACACTACCGTCCGCCATGTACATTACAATAAAGACCCATTTGTAGCCAATTGGTTTCTTGTCTTCAGAGAAATCAACAATAATCCAAATTTTTTTGCTATCAAGTGCAAAAAGTTCTTCTTCAACTACCTTATTCTATTTTGGACTTTTTAGCGATTCTTCCAGTGTGTCTAGAATGCAAATTCTTTCCACCGACTGTAAAATTCTTAAAATCAGGCATTAGTTTACATAATTTATAGGATGATTTGTGCACCAACGTACTCTTTTTCTTTGAGCAATCGGTAATCCACTAGTATCAACCAAGACATCCTACTCATTAGGTAGACTCTGATCACCTTTTTCACTGTCTAAGGAATTCAAACCTAGTTCCAGTTCTTGACAGTAAATAGAATGTGTGGAGACTGCTAGGATATGTTTTTCCTTCTTTTGCACTCATGAAGTTTTTCTCTTTCGATTTGAGAGATCAACAGGTAGGTTTGGTGTTTTGGGAGAATTTGAAATTGTTGGGTTTACGATTTGGTGTAGGTCTACTTAGTTTTCAAGGTTTGTTGTTTCAGTGGTGTCAAAGCTTGCTGGTTGGATTTCAGTGTTTTCGAATGGAAACAAAGTGACTGGCAGTTCAGTATTTACCAGAAAAGACTGACATTCAAACTCACTCACTTGCTCCCCTTAATTTCAGATTTAGAGAAAAAAGGTTTATGTTAAAGGATGGTAACATGCATAGAAAAGAAAAAACCTTTTTAGTTTGAGGGCAGTAACATCTATAACTTTTTTTTATGAGAATAATACCTAATAAAGACACACCGAAATGCTCTAAGATCCAGATTAAACTTAGAATTTTTATGACTGAACAAAAATAGTGTAACCAAAGACTTAAAAGAAACACTAGTAGTCAAAGGTTTAAAATGAGGAAAAGACTGAGTAAAAATATCCCTTGGGCACCTAACTTGGAGGACCCTATGAGGCATACAATTAATTAAAGAGAAAATAACCTCAGTGACCAAAAATCCCATATAATATACGATTTTAACCAACTTTTTCCGGATTTGCCAAAATGACCAACAAAATCGCAATGCGATCACTAATTCGCAACGCGATCTCCATTATCGCAAATCAGTTTCCAGATTCGCAACGCGATTATGACTATCGCAATGCGATTTTCCAATTTTGCGTTGCGATTTTCCCAATTCGCAATGCGAATAAGTAAATCGCAATGCGAATAAGTAAATCGCAATGCGAATTTGGAAAATCGCAACGCGGTACTGACTATCGCAACGCGATAATACAAAATCGCAATGCGATACTGACTTTCGCAACTCGATACTTAATTTCGCAACTCAATACTGACTTTCGCAACGAGATAATACATAATCGCAATGCGATTTTCAAAGCGCCATTAGTATCGCAAAGCGTATTTTATTTTCAAATTCCAAACACGAATATTAATATATTGGAACACTGAACCGTCCACAGTATATCCCGTAATCGCAACTCATAACCTAAAACCTAAAATCACAACTCAGTCTCATCTCCATCTCTCACTCTCTCACCCATCTCCGACGAAATCCGTCCCCATCTCCGGCAAAATCCGTCTATCTCCATCTCTCAGAGCCACCCTCACAATCAGAAATGGAAAATCAACCAAATCAACCACCGAGGGTTAGTTTTTTTAATTATTTTTTTTTGAAATTTTTGCATTATTATTAGGTTTTTCATATTGAAATTGATGATAAGTTTACTGGTAATTTCAATAATATATTAACCATTTCACTTAGATTGCTTATTAAATCAACCGAGAATCGCAACGCGAAATGAAATTCGCAACGACAAAATCGCAACGCGATTTTATTCTCTCGTTGCGATAGTCAAATTCGCGTTGCGATTGTCATTTTCGTGTTGCAATTTTCATTTTCAGAAACTATTCTTCTTCTGCAAATTGAAACTTGAATGAATTGCATTACTTCAACCAAAAAACAAAGACAAATAAGAAATTCACAGTGTTGCAAATTTAAGTTTGAAGAATAAACTACTACTCTTTATGTTTATTATTGTTTTTGGTATATCTTCACAGTGTAGTGTTTGGTATATCTAACTTAGTATGTTTATTGTTTTTGTAGAACTTTTATTCGGCTCAATTGACCTTAAGAAATAAAGTCAGCCTGGACAAAACAATTGCGTCGAAGCTTTCACCTGCACAAAGAAAAATGTTTGAGTATACTTGCTTCGGGCCATGGCTGAAAGTACAACATCCCGGTGGAGATGCGATGTTGACACATCTATTTCTTCAAACCATGACTAGGGATCTACCAGATACTATACAACGTCGTGATGAAGAGATATGGTTTGATTTTCCACCGGCGTATACGTGTTTTGGGCGGGAGGAGTTTTGCTTAATCACCGATCTACGCTTCGGACACGATGATGTAGGTCGGTACACTAGACACATTACCCGCCCATCATGGTTATCCCGGGTTTTTCCAGAGCTGGAGAGGCCGAATCTACACGTGGAAGACCTGACGATATTATTGAATAAAAAAGATGGTTTTACTCGGATGGATGACGTCGATGTTGTCCGAGTATGCCTTCTAATACTTTTGCATGCCGGCTTTTTAGGTAGAGAGGCCAAACAACCTATTCCGAATGATCTAATCAAATTGGTAGAAGACCTAAATGCGTGGAACCTGTTTCCATGGGGCTCGTATTTATGGAAAGCTACATGGAATAAGTTATCGTCTGCCTTGGATGATCGAAAAAGTTTGCATGGCGATGGTTCCAAATACACTTTGACAGGCTTTATTTGGGCCTTTAAGGTAAGAATTTTTATATAATGTTTC